ATAGATCCAAGGTTTATAGGGTTGCATGTACACCATAGGAGTGTTAGAATGCTCAAAACCCAACAGTACAAGCATATAAGTCAAAGTTTATCTGTTCCTTTTATCCTACGAGGTTAAAAACGATATCTTGGGCCCCTTGATGATTTTGTTTTGACTTATGTGTCGGGCCGGGTCAGGACTGAATTGATGTGTTCAATTAAGTTCTATGTCAGACAAATCGGAAATCGGGAAACAAACTGCTGGAAAATAAGTATGACTATGTTCCGTGTATATGTCTGCACGATATCTTGAGAACGGAGGACTATACGATCCCTTATCTAAAGGACGTGTCAGAGTTCGACAACGGCTTTTGAGAGCTACGATTGCTAATTGGATTTTAAAGTCGTACTTTCATTTATAGTTATTAGAATTATCCAAGTGGGAGACTGTTGGATTAGGTGTCTAAACCCATAACTATATTTGGTATGTACTTGACCCGATAGTAGCATGATCCTTTTGGGTTGCCTTCACCAAAGCAACTTGACTGGATGAATAATGGAGAAAGAGGATAAATGTGATTTATTAAAATATTATGAGAATAATATATTAAAGGAGAAATCATATTATTTAATTAATATTGGTCAAGAATTAATTTAGAATTAATTTTGTGTTCAAAAGAGGTTAATTGAATTAATGGACTGATATTGTAATTATAAGATAATTGCAATATGGGCTGAGGAACCCTAAGGATAGGGGTGGACGAAATCCTTGTGGAAGCCCACTAGATTTCGTCCATGGTAGGGATTCTGGAAGATTCCTGTGGGCTGCTTAGGGCTTAAGCAACCTGATTAGGTATTTGACTGAAACCCTAATTCTTTAGCTATATAAGGACCCCCTTGGCATCCCAAAACCGGCCACTTGAAACCCTAGAAGGATCACCAGCCAATTTTGAGCCTCCTCCTCTCTCTCTAACATTCCCCAATTGCTTTTGGTGTTTGTGATCGATTAGAGGTATTACACTTGTGATACTAAGCTCTTAAAGGTAAGGATCTTCAAGCTACAACTGAAACGTAACATTTTTACTTGTTTAATTATGTTGATTTCGATTTCTATATGATAGATTTAGGGTTTACAAGCTTTGGATGATTATTGCATGTACAATTAGAAAAACCTAGATCCAAAGCTTTAGGGTTTGCATGTGCACCATATGATTGTTGTTTTGCTCATAACCCAACAGTTTGATGATTCAATCAGTTCATGTTACTAGGTTAAAAATTAAATATGTTATATGCAAGTAAAAATGAAAACTCACACCTTGATCAATTGATTAAATCATGACATAAAGTAAAAATTAACAAAATTACCTTGAGTTTCTAATTTATTTTCCTCATTATGAAGAATCTTTGAATCATTAGAACCGAATTGATGATTTTTCTCATCGAGATGATTATTTTCGATGTCATGCATATCTAAAATATCCATAACAGTTATCATTATTGATATATATATATATATATATATATATATATATATATATGTCCAATATTCTATAAGAATAATATGCAGTAACATGAACTTATCACCAAGATGATGTTAATGAAAAACAAACAGATGACATATTGCTAAAAAAACATATTGATTTAATGAAAGTTTAAAATCAAACAATGAAACAGATGATGTATTGCCAAATAACATATTATAGGTTAAATTGTGTTCTAGGTTAAAGAAATTCAACAAATGATGTTTGATTGTTGAAATCACGAATCAGAGATATATAAATTAGAGAAATCGCTAATAGCTTGATGATTCAATCAGTTCATGTTACTAGGTAAAAAATTGAATATGTTATATGCAAGTAACAATGAAAGCGATGCAAACTCAAACCTTGATCAATTGATGACTTCGTGATGTTGAGTAAAAATCACAGCTTGAAAGATCGTATTGTTGAAGATGAAGATTAGCAGAAATCGTTGAACACTTGAACCTCTACTTTGGATGAAATTGATGATCACAAAGTTAAAATCGATCACAATCTTGTAATGAATTGTTGATGTCGATAGATGAACATAAACCTCAATCACTCTAGATTATCAGTTGTAGATGTAGAAGAATGAAGAACATGAACTCGAAAAACACAAAAATCGCGAATTTAAAAGCTATGATTTAACATTGTTCGATCAATGACCAACTCAAATCGATTATCGGTTGAAAGAATATAAGATTTAAGGAGATAGAAGATCGGTCAGAGTGAATTGAAGAACAATGAATGTTGATCCAACGAATATCTTGGTAGAAGAATCGATGTCGATGATTTTTTGATGACATGAAGATGACGCTAATATTATATCAGATTTAATCATCTTAAATTTAACTTAGTGACTAATCTATCATTGATTAACTATTCAATTAGATTAATTAGTGTTAATCACATTTTTTAATGAGCCACAATATCAGTTTTGATCAAAGGCTAAGATTTGATCATCATATCTTACAAAATATAGATGGTCTCAAATTAACATTTAAAAAAAAATCCCTAAAATAAAGAGTTTTATTATGTACGTGACTTAATTTTACCCGAAATATGAATATCCTTTCGATCCTTACGTGGAACTTTCATGTTATACTAAAACTAAGCCGATTATAAATAAGAAATACTTTAAAAATAAATAAATAAATAAATAAAATAAAATTGGTTACTAAAAGTATGCCTTGAGTTCCAAAATTTGCTTATTCTACTTTGAAATATATTCTCCATATTTTTCCTAATTAGTCAAACTTTCATCTTTAAAATACACAACCATTGCCATTTTCACTCCACTCTCACTCACTCCCCCCCTAAAGAAAAGCCCAGAAAGAAACACTGAGCAGAAAGAAAAGAAAGAATAAAGAGAGGTGCCGGGTCTCCATAGCTTTACTCATTTCTCAACGGCACCCCCACCGCCTACATTTCGTCGGCGGAAAACAAAACGATGACCTCCGGTACTGAAATGACCACCACCACCCCCCAAAACCAAATCCAAAACCAAAACCACACAATCCGTCCACGGCCACCGCCACCATTAAACTACCACCCACGCCACAACCAACGCTACTATCCAAACTCTTCCTCCTCCTCTTCCTCCGCCTCAATCAAAGGCTGTTGCTGCTGCCTTTTCCTCCTCTTCTCCTTCCTCGCCCTTCTCGTCATCGCCGTCGTCCTCGTCATCTTCCTCGCCGTCAAACCCAAAAAACCCGAATTCAATCTCCAACAAGTCGGTGTCCAATACATCAGCCTCTCAGCAGCAAATCCTCCTTCGGCCACCGTCAATTCTCCGAACTCCGCCTCTATATCCCTTGCCATTCGCATGATGTTCACCGCCAAAAATGACAACAAGGTCGGGATCAAGTACGAGGAGTCGACATTCAATATCATGTACCATGGTATTCCGTTGGGTCGGGGCACCGTTCCCGGATTTTTCCAACCTGCTCACAGCATCCGAGAGGTGCAGACGACGGTGACGGTGGATCGAGTGAATCTGTTGCAGACGGATGCTGCTGATTTGGTTAGAGACGCGTCGCTTAATGACCGGGTCGAACTTCGGATCATGGGTGATGTAAGGGCCAAGATTCGGATCATTGGGTTAACTTCACCCGCTGTGCAGGTTAGCAATTTTCACATTGATTTTTCAATTTTTCCCTTACACATTCACACAAGACTCTTTGTGTTTGCTTTGAACTTTCTGGCTTTTGTCAAAAGCCCATGTCCCACGTACCTTTTGCTAATCATGCACTCCTTCAGAGAAAGCCTCATTAGGATTAAACTAATAACTTTCCTTTAAATGGGTGATTAGAGTTGCATTAAGTTTACTAATTGGTTTAATAAAGGAAGAGTAATGAATAATTAATACCACAAACATCCAATACACCAAGTCACCAATAATGAAATGCATTATAATACAACCACTATTTCTGTACTTTAGTTGTACATTATATTGAATCGGGTTATCTTTCTTAATTTTAATTAAGTGGTGTTGTTTGTTTGTTAATTGTCGTAATATATACTTTAGTGGTACATTATATTGAATGGGATTATTTTTTGTTTACTTATTCGTTGAAAGATATAATTGTATGTTGAAAGATATTATTACATGATACATGAAATCAAAATAATAATAATTTGGTAAATAAGTTGTGTAGTTAATGTGTTTTGTTTAAAAGGTCCTTAATTTAGACAAAACATGTTTAAAAAATGGAATATTGCATTTAAAAGAGAGCCTCGAGGAGGAATGTTTCCTAAATATATACTGTGGTGGCCTGGACCCACTGTCACATGACTGTGAAAATTGTCTCCGCAATCATTGGGAGTGGGTATTGCTTGTTATTTCCAATTACTCAAGTAAGACTGTAAGAACAAGACGAATACTTACAAAAATTAAGATTTTGGAGAATATATGAGTCTTCGGTAAATAAAAAAAAATTAAAAAGGAAGGCATGAATACTTGAAAGATATACTTTTATTTGTGTATGAATGTTCTCGACAACAATTGAAAACTTTTAAAACATATAAAATTACACTTATCTAAACACTTCATTATTTTAAAAAAAAATGTAATTAAGTCAATTTGTAAAATTCTAAAAAAGTTTTTTGTTAAATGTTACTAGAAATAGTTTTTTGACTTAAAGTTTTTTGTTTTAACAAAAGACTATAAATTCCTATTGTCGAATAAAGATTTTTTTTTTAAAAAAAAAAACTAAAAGTTAAAAGCTTCTAAAAGCTGAACATGTCCATAAAAATGTTCTAACTTTTAAACAACTTCTAAAATAATTATTAAGTCTGATATTAGCCATGTCTCACAAAAGTTGGATTTTTCTCACATTTGCACTAAATACTTCCAAAAATTTCTTTCTTGCATTTCAATTTTGAAATGTTTACTATCATTTGGTTTTCAACTTCACTTTTGTTATTTTTTTTCTTTAAATTTTTGTTTTATTTTGGAAATGTTTTTGATATTTCCGAACATCAAATGTTTACTATCTTTGGGTTTTCAACTAAATTGCACTTTTTTGTTATTGTATTGTAATCTATTTAGTTTTTAAATGATTTTTTTTTATCTTTTTGTTAGATTTCAGTAAAAAAACTAAATATTTTTTTTGAAATTCTGGATTTATTATTCAGATTTCGGAAATAATCTTAAAATTTTGGATTACATTTTTTTACTTTGTCTACAATTTATAGTCTGAAATCCAATATTTGAATATGAAATGTATTTTTTTACTTTGTCTACAATTTACTTTGTCTACATTTTTTTACTTTGTCTACAATCTATAGTCTGAAAAGCCTCATTTCGAAAATGTGGTTAAATCAATAAATGCTCAAAAGCTGTGTTATTTTCATATATCATTCGTGGATCATATGATCATTTTTGTGATCATCCCCTATAAGGTGTATTCGGAAAATAATTTGTGAACAAACCTTTTTTGGGTTAATTACTAAAATACCAAAAAGTTTGATTTCTATCATAAATTAATTATAAATATGTATTATAATATGACTATTATTTTTGTAAACTGTGAAATTGTTTTACAAATGTTTTTAATTATAAAAAAAATAAAAAGGAACAAAAGAAAAATTTATTCTCACGAAATTTTTATGTCAGTTTCAAGAAAACATAAATTTTGCAATGATTTTTTTCAGAGCAGTAAGTATTGTGAACTTTTCATAAAGATATTACTATATTATAAATATTTAAAATGAGAATTTTGTGACGAAGACATATCTTTTTGTTACTTTAGTGATTAACCTTAATTTTTTTATACATTACAAGTGGAAAGGTTGAATTACGACGTAGGAGAGTAATCTATTGTTCTTTATTTATATACTTTTTCCTTTTTGTGTACATCATAATAAACTTAATTTGTTTTTTTTTTCAAAAGACGTCATCATAAAAGGTATTACAAGTTACCTATTTATTTGGCAACTATGTGGCAAATGGCAATAGTTCTTAGGGTTATTGACTTTAAATGGTAATCAATTATTCTCTATATACCTCATATACCACTAAAGTAACTGAATTTGTGCTATAAACATCATTTTTACTCATCCAACTTTTATGGAGAAGGTAAATCAGGTTAATAAATAAATAAAACCACTCTCACCTCCGTTGATGCAATCGGAAGTTCATTTGAGACATATCATACATTTTTAAAGTGAACTATAGTGAAACAAATGTCTAGGGATCCTTGTTGAGAAAGAAAAGAAATGTAATTGAATAAAAACACGTTATACATGTTAGTGTAACAATATGTTTATACAAGTCTTTATGGATAAGTCAACATAATAAGCTTCATGCAATGGATTTATCCCACTAGGTGTTAGCCCCACTATATGTCCATTTTAGTATGAAAGGACAATGTTAAAAGTTAGATGGGTAAATAATATAGAAATGGATTTATCCCACTGGGTGTTCTTTTTTTTTTCCCGCCGCCTTCCCCACCGCCACCATCGTTGCCATCAACCGATTCCATCACTGTCACCTCTACCATCGTCACCTTTGCCACTAACCACCATAATCACATATGATTAATCACTTTGTGAACATACATATATGTGTAAACATTTATGATTAGATATATATCACTTTGTGAATAGACATATATGTGTAAACATTTTGAAAACTAAATTATATACGGTTCAGATTTACAATGTGAAAAAAATTCATTGGTTGATTTTATAAAACTAATTTACGAGTAATCAAAACGTTAAAATATTATAAAACTACATGAAAATATATTTCGATTCATATGCAAATTACACTTAATTTATGAATGATTAAAGAGATGAAATAGAAATCAGATTCAAATTGTGAATGTTATAATTGAAATAATCGAGTTTCTTTTAATCGATGTTGATGTTTATTAATAGAGGACAAAAATTAAGATTTTTGGTATAGTTAATTTTTTTTTTTTGGATAAAAATAAACTTAAATATTGAAAAAAAAAACAACAAAACGAAGTGAGTCTTTTGGAAAAAAAAATATTCTTTTTTATATATCAACATGAATCTCTTTGGAAAAATGACCAAAAATCGTGAACAACGATACATTCGGTTTTTTTTTTCGATAAAAAATGTAGCTTACAAAAAATTTAAACGAAAAAAAGATATGAGTTTTTTTGGTAAAGATGTGAGTTTTATTGTATAATCTAGTGTATTGCGTCCAATGTACAAGTATATATTCATTTCTTTGGTCGTTGCTCATTATGAATAACAAATTAACTGTAACAAAAATCTGATAAATGTTTTATTCATATATGAATATAAAATATGACGACAACTAATACACGTTTTATTCATATATAAATATAATATATGACGAAAGATGATGTAAAAAATATATTTTAAGTAAAAAAACTTTATTACGTGTAATATTTATATGTGAACGATACTTAAACTATAAAAAAAAGTTAAACATACGTTTTATTCATAAGTGAATAATGAATGTACTGTAATAAAAATTTGATAGATTTTTATTCACTTATGAATAACGAGAGCTAAAACTCTAAAAAAAATAAATTTTTTATTTTATCTTAAAACTATATCAATATGAATGTCTATTTACAGAGAATAAAAAATTATAAATTTTGATATATTTAAAATAATTTTTCGAAAAAAATGGCTTTCTAAAAATAAAAAAAAACAAAAAAAGTATGTTTTTGTGTATATTAAGTTAATGATTAGCATAGTTTAAGGAAACATGTTTGGTTGAAAAACACATGTTTATTATTTATCCATTTCCGACGGTACGCTTAAGTGTTTTGCGGCAAAATAAATGTGTGGCTGAGAATGATTCCCCAATTCTCAACTTTTTTTTTCTCAATTGAACTCTCATAT